CCATCTATAAAGAGTTTTTAATACTTTTTCTGACAGGTTTTCAACTCTTCAATGCATTTATTGTATGAGTCTGGACAGCCATTGCCTGGCTGGCAGAGTCAAACACCCCTTGAGGTGGTAATTTGAATATAACTTATAACTATGTTTTATTGTCTGTCACACATAGAGTAGAGACTTTTGGCAAACTAATCTGCCATTAAACGGGCACCAGCAGGTCTGAATATTTTCTGTTCTGCTCACCATTTTCAAATATGATTTAATTGATTTTCAGGACTTTTCGGACTTTATTTTAAAGTTAGGAATAAGTTTTCACCTCCTTGCTGTGAGGTTTCAGATGGAGTGGCCCGAGAAGAGAACACGTCCATTGACGTGTGCGTTGGGTTCGTTTGGGAACTGTTTATTTTGAGAGGAATCTGATACATGCTGGTTTCCTGGGGAATCAATTGTGCCATCTGATGCTGATCATGGAGTGTGACTGCACACGACACAGGTATATCCGTTACCTGGATCCATGTTCTTCTCACAACACTTGTGATGTTTTCCAGCTGGGACTTTTAAAATTTGATTTAATAAAAACCATGAAAGGAGTTGATAGAGAAGGCCCAGGTTTGACCTGGGTGCATAAGCACGCCTGTCTACCAAAGTTTGATTTCAAAAGCGGTACGCCTTCTGTCCTTTCCCACAGTGATCACATAGCCTTTAGTTAAGTTTGCACTGATTATTGAGGCTTAAACACCTGGCAGATGTCACCCTCAGAGCTGCAAAGATCATCTCCGCACAGTTGTCTTCCTGATTTTGCAAAACAAGATAAAAGGACAAGTTAGGGCAGAGACCGGAGGTGTCTGTATGTGTGTGAGACTTTGCTTCATTCCCACATCAATACCAGTTTGTCTGCGGCAAGGCAAACCGAAAACTTGTGATTCGGTCTGTTGAGAAGCTGATTGGCTGCATTTAGCTGTTGTTCCAGGACTTCGAGATGGGCCATCCCTCTCCTGAGTCCCCTGCACTGCTGGCAGAAGACCGGTGTGTTGTAGAACCGGAAGGAACAGGAAGAGTTTCTTCTGTTGTAACGTACTGCCATGAAAGCTTTTGGTTTCTGTCTTAAAAATTAATCTAATCTTAAAGAATCACTGTTGCACATCTGAATATCTTTTTAATGTATTTATTAAGATAACTTTAGCTATTCTATTTTGAAAATATGAAATACATTTATCTTTAGCTCTCTTTACTCTGATACCCCCAAGTAAAATCCATTGGAGTCAATTCCCTTCAGAATTCACCTCATTGGTAAATAGAGCTCACCTGCATGTAATTTAATCTCAGTGTGAACCATTCCTTTAGGGTTTTTAGGGATTGTAGAGCATAGAAAAATAACATGAAGAACAAGGAATATACCAGACAGGTGAGGTGTAAAGTTGCTATGAACATCTCACAGCGCACTGCGGCTGGAAAATCAAAAGATTAGTGCAATCGCAAACCTCCAAAGACATGGGCACCTAGATTGACCAGCCAGGCAAAGAGAGAATTTATTAGAAAATTAGTCAAGAGGTTTATTGAAACTCTAGAAGGGGTGCAGAGATCCACAGCTCAGGTTGTAGAGTGCTTGTTAAAAGTCCTATTTAAATTTTCCTAAGTCTTGTTGGAGACATGGCAAACAATTGTGGTTTGAGCCATAAAGGAACTTTCTGAGCTACATGCAAAAAGTGTAAAAAAAAAAAAAAAACCATAAAACTACTGCACATCACCCTGGATGGACCATCCATATTGTGAGGTGGCAGCACAATGCTGTGGGGATGCTTTCCTAGAAGGAACAGGCAGTCAGGTTAGAGTTAATGGAGCTAAATACAGGTTAATGCTGGATGAAACTTGTTGGGGGTTGCAAAAGACTTGAGACTTGGGCAGAGGTTAATCTTCCAGTAGAACAATATCTCTAAACGTGCAACCGGAACTATAGAAAATGGTTTAGGTCCACTCATATTCATGTGTTAGAAAGCCCATTACAGATTTTTAACACCTGGCCACCCCTCTTTGTAAAATTTCTTCCCAAGAAAAATTATTTGCCAACTAGTTTAATAAAAACATGATGGTTCCCATTATGCTTATTTGAATCTCATTTTATTTAATTTTAAGTAGTTCATTTTTAGTTGTAGTTAGTTTTTATTATGGTGTCATTATGCCCTGATTCCCTCATTTCTCCACATTCAACACATGTTCTAATCCCTTAGTGTTTCTTGGATCACAATAAAAAAAGGTTTAAGCAGATGTTTGGTTATTTTGTTGTGATCTCATCTGAATTTATTATTTATTTCCATGCCAAATAAATCCGAACTAAGCTGCTTTTGGCTCCTGGTTTCCAAACCTGACTGGAATAGTCACACAGTCAATACGATCAGAATGAATATCCAAGTCTGAGATGTAAACATGAGTTTATTGAGTTCATAAATTATCAGCAGCAGGATTCTCACAATCCAGCAGTGACAGATGGTGTCATTAATATGGACAAGATTACAGAGTGATGGACGAGTGACAGTGTGGGGCTTGTGTTGATGAGCAGGCCTGCCCCACCCATCACTACAGGCGTCTCTAGTTCTGTGTCCTGTCATGGTAACTAGATAGGGATTTTCCTAGACTCACTTAGACTCACTTACATGCTGAGCAGCTCTCTGTTTACACATGTGGACAGAAGGCTTTTCAGCAGCCAGTCCTGTTAAACTAGAGCTATGCTTTTCTTGTCTTAAAGTACCGGTACCACTGGTCCATTTCTTTGCGAAGTGCTTTTGTCTGACTCATTTGTTAGGATCACAACCATGGGAATGTTTTCCATTTGCTCAGATGTCAAACATTCTACCATGTCATGCCTGTTCAGCACACCAGGAAGTGGAAAAAGCTTCACACTCAATGTTAAATTTACAGAGGGCAAATTAACAGAATTAGGAGGGTGTCGTCACAACACCTAAACGGCTTCTTGAGATTTTGGTGCCTCTCCAAATCGTGCAAGCTAAAAGCCAAATTAAAAACGAAAACACTGTTGTTTTTCATGTGTTTGAGTGTTTCTCTGGAGCTGCAGGCTTCTGTTGAAAACATGGTTTTAAGCTTACTTCGCTTGACTGATTTCAGTTCACTTACACCATCTTGTGGCAAAACAGCAAAGTTTACGTCTCTGTACATGAATTCAAAGGAAGCAAAGTTCAAAATTCTGTTAAGAGTGTAGTCAGGAAATGTTGATTTTTAGTATTTCTTAAACTAATTTAAGAGACTAATTCTAAAAGTTAGTCATTATATATATGAATAAATTTGTACAAAATAAAGTATTTTAAACATGTATTTATAGTAATTTTACGGTGGTGGTTTATGGGTAAATAAACTTCAAATTATTAATGTTTGCTACAATTATGTTTTAACATTGATTATTCATTAGTTATAAGCCATAATAATAACTACTAGATGCAAAAGCATAGTCAGTATATGATCTACATCATTTATGATTTTCACTATTTGTATTGCGTCAATGAAAGAAATTGGTGCAATACAATTGCGCTAATTTTCCTAATCAAATTTACAGAGTTTACCTGTAGTTTTACATTTTTGTAAATTAATGATGCAACACAGAGCAACCTCAATGCCCCTCTACCTTTGAAGCCTTGGCAACTCCTGTGTTTCTCCTTTTGATTTTGTTTATGAGGTCAACATCAGCAGCATCTGCTTCCTGGCTGACCAATCGGGGTGAGGTGACGAGCAACAACAATGAGATTCAGAGTATCTAAGTGTGAATGGAGGGGTGTTATGTCAGGAATTAGGCAAAAGAGGATTAGTGTCTTTCGCCTAATTCTATTGGCTGTCTAGCCGCTCTCCTATTGGACCTTCACTGATGACATCAATGTCATCAAAACAAGCCTGACTGCTTTTGAGATGCTCCTTCATCTGTTGATCAAAAGTCTGTTTATTGAGAGTATATCTTTGCCCTTCCAAACAATTTTTGTGTATTTTACTCTAAACTTTTGGATCACTTTTTATCTGAAATAAGAAGTAGCAATGGTGGTACTTTCAACTAATAACTTTAGCTTATATTTTAAGTGCTTTCCATTTGTTTTGAAGAATAAGGGTAAGTGAAAACAGCCTTATTTGCTTGTAGAAGTCTGATATTTGTTGCTGCTCCCTGGAAGTCTAAAGTATTTTATTATTGATGTTCACACAACAAAATTTACATCAAGAGACGTTGCTAAGAATGCTAATGTTATATGTTGACATTTAGCACCTTTTTCAAGAAACAAAAAACTGTTTTTAAAATTTTACACAAGAATTTAAAAGGAATTTAAATTAAGCCTACCTGTAAATAACTAAACAGTTTTCTTTTCTGCATCTCAGAAGCCACTGTAATGCTGTTACAGAAAAAGAAAGTGAAAACTGGCAGCAGCCACTAAGCTAATTCCAGTCTAATTAAAGAAGTAGAACAGCTAAATGCAGAGCAGTTCTCACTATTGCATAAAGGCCTTGTCATAGGTTGATGATCTGAGTCTTTAATGTTTTGAAGTACAAGATAAAAGTAAGTTTGATACTATTTATTATTGCTTATTTTGATGTATTTGGGACTAATCTACATACACTAGAATTATGGATCTCCTATTTCTAATGGATCTCAATGGGGTTACAGTGTTGGTAAAAATCAAATAGTCCACACAACCATAAAAATCAAACAAATAAGTCCATAAATAATATGTAAGAAAGTGGAATGGTACAGGGAATAAGTATTCAGCATATATAATGAAATTAGTTCATTTATCTAGCAAACCCTTGGTTTGCAATGGCACCCTCAAGATGGTCATGTTTTTACACATGTAAGCTAAGTTGAAGTCCTACCTATTATTTGCACTCCCATGTATTTGTGTGCGTCTCATTTCTTACTGTTCTGGTCTCTCTGCTTTGTTAGTGTTTCGTCAAAAGAAGCTTCAAATTAATGTGAGCTAATCCGGTTTTCCTTTTTTTCTTTTCTTCCCTCCAAGCTGTCCCAAAGCTAAATGATGATGACAAGACTCCAGCTCCCCCACAGTTCCAGGAGAATGTCTTTATCGAGAGCAGCAGGTCCAAGTACGTGGAGGACCTCCACACCGAGGCCCTCGAGGGGCTGAAAATGATGCAGGAAGAAGGTATGCTGATGTGATTAATTTGAAAGGAAGGGATGTTGTTACTTGTATGAATTTGCAGTGAGTCTGAACATATGTTTTATTATTTATTTATTTATTTATTTTTGCCAGAAAACAGTAATGGAGTGGAGTATCAAGATAATGAAAGCACAGTTGTAAGTTTGGCACGCAATTTTATGTACAAATAAATGAAATGTTTTTGTTATCTGTTAAATCTATTTTTACATTTCATTTTATCCTAGTCGACTGTGACGGTCCAAACAGACGGGGAAAGTGCGGGGTTCGTGACAGACAGCACCATTCCTGACACATCCTCGGTTATCTCGAGACAATCATCGGTGTCCGCAAGATCGTCCCGCTCTGGACTCACCAGGCAAGGTAATGAGATATAAACAGTGTTTATTTCCTTATTATCATACCATAGGTATCACACTTGGATTTGTTTACTTTTACCCTATTTTTTTTTTCCTTTTCAACATTTGTTTTCATATAAACTTTTACCAAAGTTTAAAAATGTACTCTAAATTGTCATAGCATAGCACAACAAATTTGGTTATATGACTCAACTTGATAATATCTTCCACTAAAGATGCTCAGAGGTTTCATTCTATCACGGATTAGAATTATTTGTTATATTTCATTAGACTCTGTGGGTCCAGTTTTAAAATCAGGTCTGCTAACCTGATTTTATGTAAAATATGACATAAAATCTTAAGAGAATACAAAATTGAATTCACTTGTAAGTGATGTTTGAGCATTTGAATGGTTATTTATCCCAGTCATTCATCAAACATCTTGAACTAGGAAATAAAAAGACTGTTCTGCAATGCAAGCACGTTGATTTGGGGGAAATGGAATAGGTTGTGCCGAAATGTGCATCTGAATTGGCAAAGGGAATAAATGACTCTGTACCAATTTTATTATCTAACTAATTTAACCCACATTGCAAAAATCAGTTGTTTCATCATAAATTCAATTTGTTTAAGAACAGTAAAAGCTATTTTAAAAATAATTTCAATTATTGTAGTTTGATTTATTGCATTCCTACCTGTCTCATGCATAGGTAGGAAATGTAACTTATTGTATCTTATTCTGAGAAGTTAAAAGCACCTGTTTTATATTTAGTTTCCTGCTTTTCTATGCTTTTTCAGCATCGACATTCAGACCACTGAACTCTGGTAAAAAGTCAGAAAAAAGCAAAACACGAAAACGTCACCGGAGGACTGTTGCAGGGATTCCACGACATGTTCAGAAAGAACTTGGTATGCAGCTAATTTTTGTAAGAACATAACATTTTCTGTTGCTTGCCTGTAAACTTTTTTTTTTTTTATTCCATCAGGCTTGGATAGAGTGGGATGGACAGTAACTCAGCGGCTGGATGAAGAACAACTTTTCAACGGAGATACAGATAACAGCCCTTTGACTGGGCCAGAATCACCAGAAATACTTGGCTCTAGCCCTCAAGCCTCAAACATCATCCATCCACTTAGCAAAGAGAAGGTGGCGCAGCTGAATGCTGCCCATGCTGCCCATGCAGATGACCTGGCCCTGCTGCACCGTTTCCCTCCTCTTTCTGAAGCTGTGCGGAGACCTCGGTCCGTGGCTGTGCCGTGGATGACTACTGCGTCCAGTCTCCAACAAAAGCCCCCTAGCCCAGTCATGACTATGTCACCCCAGGCTGCATACATGTCTAAAATAATTCCCAACGCTGTTCTGCCACCCTCTATTGACGTAGTGGAAATCAGCCGCAGTCGAAGTCGCAACAGTGTCCGCACGGTCAGCAAGAGCAGCCTGATGGTGTCCAGCCCAGCTCCCTCCCGTGCTTCGTCTAGAGCTTCTTCATCCAGAACCACTTCCTCCAATATCACCTCTGTCTCCCGCTATAATGGTCCTACTCTGTCTGACACTTCCTGTTGCAGCAGCTCAGATTCTTCAAACACCTTGGTGTCTGATTCTTCAACCATCTCCAGCAGCAGCATGCAAAAAATGCCCTACAATGTTGATACGTCTGCTAAACATTATAAGGTCAATAGCAATTCTTCTAATGGCACCTTCAACACTAAGGTCCTAATTAAGGGACAGCAGAAAGATGGGCAATTTGTGCGTAGCCTCTCTGTCATTAAGTCCAAACGAGCTCCTCCTCCTCCAAGTCGCTCCTATTCCCTTCACAGCAAAGTGAAACGGCGATCACAGGATCTGGTAGAGCTTCCAATAGAACCATCAGTCCCTAGCAAGGAAAAGGAAAACCATAAACCTGGATCATCTCCATTGCCCTCATGTGTAGACAGCCCTGGTTATCATGGAGACACCAGCTCTCTAGATGACTCTACAGGTTCCACATTATTCGCTTTAAAGAAACCTCAGCTACCAGCATCAAAGACGGAGGATTTGAAAAAGGCTGCAGCAACAGATTTCAAGGACCCTTCAGAAGAAAAGCAGGAAAAGTTTCAAGAGAACAAGCACACTAGATTATTGTCTCCATCCAGTGGTTACTCCAGCCAAGATGGAACATCCCCTCAACAGCCTCCCAGCACATCTCCAAAGCACAAAAAGGGGTTCCTTACAAAGCTTCAAAAGTTATTCTCTGGGCCAAACTCTTCTAGTTTGGCTCCAGCTGTCTCAACCCAGACAGGGATTACTGAACCTAAACATGACACAGTGAGTGTCAGCCCCTCAGTTCGGACCCTGAGAGAACTCTTCAACATCCCTCCCCCACCCAAAGTCCATGCCCCACCACCGCCTCCCCCTGAGGTATGGGCTCACAGTAAACGTTCATTTGAGTTACTCCTGGGGCCTCCTGCTCCTGACAACCCTATTGCCATCATAAAGAAGAATCCAAAGGACAGGAGACAACAGAGACAGTCTCCCTCCGTGTCTAGAGAAGGATCTGTAAAGAGCGTTGCAGTAGAAAGAAAACACAAGTACACGGCAGAGCCTATGAATGAATCGCAAGAGGCAAAGAAAGTTCAAGAAAGTGGGATTTTAAATGCAGAAATTCACAAAGAGAAGACTGAAAGATTGTCTCAGAATGGAGATTTGAAAGGTAGCGTTAAGGAAGAGAAAGAGAGAGTATGTGACATTTTAAATGGGATGTTAGTGAAGGATATAGAAACATGTGAAAGGAAAGGTCAGAAAACGTCCAGCCAAGCTGCAGGGAATATTTCTTCATCGGTGAGTGGTCCTCTACAACTCGCCGCCATACAGACCACTGAGGCTTCCAGATCTCTACAAGTTGTTTCGCCTGAATCATCCTGGCCTCCCCCTCCTCCACCAATGGCTCAAGCTGGCGTCAACGGAGCAGATGGGCTAGATTTTCCACTTCCACCACCCCCATTCTTCAGTGAGGAGGGAGTGATTTCACCTGTTCAGGTGCCACCAAATAGGAACAATTATGGTTGCAAATCATCACCTGGAGCTGTGCTTACTAGACAAGATGTGAAAGGAGATCATGTTGAGGTGCCTCCTTCATCAGGTATCCCTCCTCCCCCACCCTATACTGCTCCCCTTCCACCAACCATTGAGACTGAAAAGGGCTCTGTCCCACCAAAAGAGTCTTCAGCATCTACTTCACCTGTTAAAGAAGTTCATCTTCCAACAGCTGTAGAGGTTTCTAAAGACTTTACTCTTCAACATACCCAGGAAACATCTTACTCCACTGAACAGGCAGGTCCTCTGAGAAAGTATGTTGCACCTCAGAGTATTCCACCCCTACCAACACAGCTCCAGTCGTCAGAGCAGAAGATAGATTCTCCAGACAAGAGCGCCCCACCAAAACCTGAAACTAAAGATTTACCAAACAGTATTTTAATCCCTCATCAGAGTATTCCTCCCCCTCCTCCTATAGAGCCTCTGCTCAAGTTTTCAACTGATAATTCAGGAACTGACGAGGCACCAATTTTACCACCATCTGAGTTCAGAAATGCTTCTTCACTAAAAGAGGCAGAAGAAATTGCTTCTACTCAACCTATTAACATTCCGTTGCCTCCACCTTTGCCAGCACAGATTCCTGCGAACAGAAACCATAAATATGGCCCTCTAAGTATAGAAAACCAACACCAAACGACAGCTTGTGCATCTGATGTACACAGAGAACAGTCGAATGTTATCACCCCTTCCCTATTGAAAATGGTCAAGCTTCGGTCTGTTGAAAACAGTCTGGAACCCCTTGAAACTCGAGAGCAGGCCTCTTCTAAAGGTGTCTTTAAGCACCCCTCTTCTACTATAACATCATCACTTATGCAAATGGTCAAACTTCGGTCTGTGAACAACAGCCCTGAACCCACTGAAACTTCCACAGGCATGGAAGAGGAACCAACACCGTCTTTTCTCCAAAAGGTAAAGCTTCGGTCCATCAACAACAGCCCCGAACCAGCTGAAGTTACCAAGGAGTCAGGCGAGGCATCAGTGTCCAGTACCACCCCATCCTCTCAGCAGATGGTCAAGCTTCAGTCTATTAACAGCAGCCCTGGACCCCCTGAAGTTGCCAAAGATGAAAGTGAGGCATCGGCGTCTGATGCCACCTCATCCTCTCTGCAGACAGTCATGCTTCGGACTGTTAACAACAGCCCTGAACCCGCTGAAGAGATCAAGGATGCAACCAAGGAGTCTGTAAAGAACAGTCCTGAACCCCTTGAAGTGAAAGAGCAACCAAAGCCTGAGACCCCAGTGAACCAACAGCTCCCTGACAAAGAGCTCCCAACTTCATCTTCCAGTAATGAGGCTCCTCAGAAGCCCATCAGAAAATCTCTGATCATGACACATCCCACTTCCACATCTCCACCTGCCACCATCACCTCACCACCAACTCTGTCTCAGTCTGTTGAAGTTTCAACTGCAACTTCACCAACAGTTGTCTCTCCAATGAAAAAGTCTCCTCCTGCCACAACCTCTTCTGGCTCCATGAACCTGCAAGAGGCCATTCGCCTCAGGACAGCTGCCAGATCGAAACAGGGTCCTTCTTCTCGGCTCTCACCTTTGTCCCCTGCAGACTATCTTAAATCGCCGTCAAGCACTGCAAGCTTCATCTTCTCCAAAAGCAACAAGAAGGCAGTGATTGAGACGAAGCAAAAGCAAGAAGAGAAGGAAAATGTGCAAAACAACGTGGAAGATTCCACTAAGGTGACGAGTGAAGGAGAGTCGAAGATAGTAGGGAGAGTGCCACCACCTGTAGCAAAAAAACCGAAAGCAAAGGGTAAAGAGGCTGAGGTCAGTGATGCTGTGGAGCAAACTGCAGGACAGGAAACACAGCTAGATGCTCTCAAAGGTAAGAGCAATTTGAACAAAGAGATTAACTTGTTTTATTGGTCTATGCCTGAAGGAATAAATGCTTTGAAAAAAAAAATTAGTACTATTTAACTTAACAGTTCTTGTCATGCACAGAGCTGCACTGCTTTAACAGTCGTCATTCAAATCGGCGTCACTGCTACAGTCCAACCCATTTCGCGTACTACAAATCTAATTGTATCTGTCTTTTTTTGTCTGCAGATACCACAGAGGAAATAAACGGGACAGCAGGTACTGTTCAGAGCGGGACATCATCAGCATGAATGCAAAGCCTGAAGGAGACCTTGGAAGGACTAAATAACACTGACTTCTTTTTGATGCAACTGTTTGGATTTGAATTGATATGGTTCTTATTTTCAGAATTTATGCATTAGAAAGTTGTTTGAGTTTCATGTTAATGGTGTGGGTCTTAATTTTTATTAATTCATTTTGCATTTTAGAGAAAGCAAGTAATGTATATTTTTCTTGCCAGAGGGACTTTTGTTCATGGTACTTAAGACGTGGAGGGAATATGCTGCCCTCTAGTGTCAACAAGTGATTGCACCACTTAAAATATGTCCTGCTGAATCAAAGCTTCAGTCTTTGCTTGTATCAATGGGATCTTTGGGAACTGATTTGTGTTTATATAACATTTGTCTATTTAACATATCTAATAATTACAGATGTGTTCCACAGAGTTCTGTATATTTTCCAAAAGAGTTTCCACACCAATTATCTTTAAAAAAAAATATATATATATTAAGTTATTTCTGTCTTTTCATTGGACTTTCCTAGAGAGGATTTCACTCAATGCAAAGTACATGGTTTAAATTTGCAGTCGTTTGTCAAATCAAAAACTCTTTATGAAGCCCATTTCATGCTGCTTTCGTTACTGACGGTGGGAAGCGATGCTTTCCACTCAGTTCCAACTTATTTTTTTTCAAACTGGTTTTGGAGGCTGAAATGGAGGATATGATCATTTATTATGAAAATTAAACACTTAAACACTGAAAGAAATTGTGTGATTTTAATTTCTGTACCATGAGTGCTGTGAAAAACTATTCTCTCCCTGCATTTCACATATTTTAACAAAGTTGACCTGATTAAGGTGGGTCCACCCACCCAATCTAACCATGCTCCATGTAAAAATACATCAGCTCTCCAAACCTAACTAGTTGTACCACTCTTGGTTGCAACCATTTCCATCACATGTACAATGAGTCTTTTGCAAAACTATGGAGGAATTTTGGTCCACAATTCTTTGCAGAATTGTTTTTCAACCACATAAAGTATAAGGCAAAGTCAAATAGGATCGCAGTAGTATCCTATTTGACCAAGTATGTTTATTTTCTGAATTGCTGTTTTGGATTATCTTGGTCACTTGGCAAAAGTCAGAGGAACTCTTGTTTTTGGTCTGCAGTATTTTTTTACTTGTTGCTCTCCTATAGATGCCATTTTTAAAGTGTCTTAATTATAACCACCAACCTGAAATGAAGCAAATGGAGCATGCAGTACTTGGATGTTCTAGGATCCACTCTTGCAGTATTTTTTTTGTAAGAAAACCACTACTGGAGGTTAACTACACTTCCATGGTTTCAGTATTTGAAAATGGCTCCAACTTAAATATCACATGTTCTGAATTTAACAGAATGAGTCAATGGGTTATAGTTAATTGGTTCCAATTATAAAATAAGTTTGATATGAAACATGTAAAAAAAAAAAAAAAAAAGTCCATAAGGTGGCAAATACTTTTCTACAGTACTGCTTAAGCTTTTTTTTTTTTTTTAAGTTCAAATTTTTGTTTGGGTATGGCAAAAATCTAATGCACATTTGATTAAGCAAATGTTCATAGGGATGGGCAGACTAGGCCATTAAAAATTTTAAGGTGGCACAACAGAAGAAATGGTGAACTATGCTATCATTTTTCCAGAGTTTGTACTGAATATTTTTCCCTTATTCTTAAATAGATTAACTGAGTAAAGATTGAGTTTAAACTTAAGTTATCACAAGACACTTCAGTCATTGGATTTCTGTCATTTATTGTGCACAAGCAAGTCAAAAATCAGATCAGTCCTCAAGCAGATGGGCCATCTGTTTTATGTCCATGTGAAATACCATGTTTCCTCCTGTTCCTCCATCTCACCATCATCATTCCTTCCTTGCATCATCCTCCTGTTCTCATCCCCTTTACATGCATGCTTCTTCGTTTTTCCTTCCTCCGGGTTGGGGGGCTTCAGCTTCCCCTCACGGATGACATCAGTAAACATCTCCTTCCAATGCACCCTCGGAAGAAGCAGATCTTTCACCTCAGTGATTTCATCTTCACTTGCCTTAAAGGCTTCTTCATATCTTGATTCACCTTTCCCAAACTCATTTAAATCTGATAATTTAGGTTCACTCCACTTGTGCGCCAAGACCCCCTTACTGTCAGCCAACTCCTCCAATTCTGGTTCCACCGTTTCTCCACGGATTGTTTCACTTTCTTCAAGCCATTTATCGTTTGCCTTTTCATGCTTTTCACCAGCTGCATCCTCCCAAAGTTTTTGATTGTCATTTAGGTCTTTGTAATGTAGTTTGCCTTCATCTTCTCTTCCCCTGTTGTCTGCAGATGGGATCATTTCTTGGTACCAATTCTCAGATGTGTGTGGCTGATCAGAGATTAGTAATGGTTTACTGACAGCAAAACCTTTGGAACAAAGACCAGAAGTGTTTGGTTCACTAAAAATTTAAAGCATTAAATAAATATACATAATATTGCATTCACCGATAATTTAAGAAATTTTTAATGATGGCTGGTTCACTTAAGATCAATGGGTCTTGTCAACAGCAGGCTTAGATTGTGGTATGATAGTCAATAGCCATGTCTGAAAATTGATTAAAATTTCTATTGAAAATTTGAGACTCTTTTCTCCCCCAACAATCCAGTGAAAAGTTAAATTTGACATTTTGGTCAATATTAATTACATTTTAAAGCATGTGTTATGTGTAACACAGAGGAATGAGTGAAAGAAGATATTCATTGAAGAGCACAAGCGCCCTATAAAGCTGAGCAGAAATGGACAGACTGACAAACCTTCCAGTGCCCTCCGTGGTTTTGAGGTCACACATGTTGAATCACAGCACTCGCATATTGAATCCTCACCAGTGAGTGCTCGCCATCTGTAAGAGAAAATTTACAGTTTACCTAGAAACAGTAAACAGATACTTAGATATGCCTCTATTTTTAAAGAAATCATTGCTCACCTGCCATCTTGGTAGGTGCAGGATTTTTGAGCAGGCCCCGGTTCCCCTGATGTGACAAACAACTTGCAAAAGATGGTGACCTAAAGAGGACGATAAATTACTCTCATCAGTTGCATATTTCAAAAAAACAAAAAACACCTTTAGCACCATTATTTGCCATCCTCACCTTAGTGTCGGGGTTGGCTGTAAACTGGAATGTCCTCAAGGAGAACCTCAGGGTCTTGTCAGTCCGAGAAACAAACTGCGAGGATCCAGGTTCATGCTTGCTGTCCAGCATACACCTGTGGATTCAAAAGAAAAACAGAAAAAAAATTACATGTATATAAATAACAAAACACCTAAATTACCATTTTTCTGAATACATACCCAAAGTTGTCTATTAAGGTGTATTTAAGGGATGATTTGGAGCCACTAGAAGGTGCTGCATAGCAGCTGTTGGTGTACAACTTTAATCCAGCAGGTAGATGAGGTGCAGAGACTTGGATATTAACAGTTTGTCCCAGCAGGTACACCTGAGACTTGGCCGGTGTTCTCCACGAACCTGAGCCATTTAGAAAGTCAGTTATGCCACAGTGAAGATGTGTTGAACCATGTCGAGTGAAATATTGAAATACCGCACCTTGTGAAAATAAGCCAGAGTTTGTAACAAATAACGAAAAAAATAAAATTTTCAATAACATTCAAATTGATTGAGCCGTCCACTATGAATGTAGGGCTTCATAGGAAAACTGTTCAAAATAATAATTTTACCATCCATTAAATTGATCTGGAACTCCATAGGACGTCCCTTCAGTTTTTTGCGCAGAACAACAGTTTGCCATGTGGGCTGCACCGCCAATTGGTAGACGGCATGGTCTCTGAAGGACAAGGAATATGGAAGTCGTTTGCACTTTCAAACTCACTGTATGCCTTAAAATTGAGAGAAGCAAATCTAACCTCTGATAATGACATTCAATGTTGACATCGATTTGGTGCGCTCTGCTCGGAAACCGTTTTGGAGACGGTTTATAGTGGAGCACGTATTTATAGACCAGATAATCGTCCGGAAGCTGTGCGTAAGACAGTTAAAAATGGCTCTGAAACCTAAAAAATGCCACACATGGCTACATGCTTACCTCCCGCACTCCATCGCACGCAGTCAGGGGATACGTGAAGAGTAGGTCACCGTGCGGCCTGGAGATGCCGTTGCTTCTACAGTCCCTGCCCAGCGTCAGCTCCTGCGCCTCTGCGCCCAGACCATAGAAAGCTGGCTTGACCCGCACCACAAAGTCCGAAGGGGAGCAGGTGACAGAAACGTCCGGTGCGTACGCCGAGTCCGCCTTTATCCAAGCCTCTGGCTCCCCAGGAAACAGAGAGGGAGTCACCAGCGTGTAGGAATGAACCGACCTGAGCTGAGACAGAGGAGGCTTGAGCCTGGAAATCCTCTGGATGGCCCCTCTGTCCTCTGTGGTAGACGGTTTAATGACTTTAGACACTTTTCTCCGTGTGGTAAATAAAGATTTGTGCGAATCCGCTGCACAGCAGATAGAGCCAAGTGATAACGCACAAATAAACAAAATAATAAAAAGATGCCACTTTGTTTTCATCGCAGCAGACCGCTTGTTTCTGCCTTCCACCTTCGAGCCGCGTGTTAAAGCGCTTCTGTCGCGGCTGCAAGTAATTATGAGATATTAAGCTTCCTGTTGCTCAAAAAGAAAAATGTGATTCTAGTCTCATCTCGTTTATTTTTCACTTTTCAGCATCATCTTAATATATAGACTCAGATGAACTATTTTAAATTATTTTTGATAAGTTCAATAAAATGGTAAATCCAACTTATATAGCGTTTTTCCAATCATTTTGACCAATAGAATCACGCACCCATTCACACTCACATTTATACACCGATACGCTGATCGGTTGGCAATTTGGGCTAAAGTGTCTTGTCCAGGGGCACACCGATATATGGCAAGTAATTTTACTGCAAATTTAAAATTATACTGTATTTTGTGTTGCTCTGTCACACAGCGGATGTAGAAGATAAGGGGTTTGTGGTGGTGACGAACTCTAAGATACATTTCCAAAGCTCTGCAGTCTGGATTTCTGTTACGTCAATTCAAATTAAACAAAACACTCTAGCACTCTGTTTCAACAATTTTTATTTATTGATTTACAATTTTACATAAAACATTCTTTTAATGATTCAAGTATTGCTCAATGCTGTATATTTACAATTTACATATATGTACAACACGCTAGAAAATCTTCACAGATCTTCAGCTTGCATTTTCCATATCAACACTACAAGTGAGGCATAATGCACTCCAATTAGTGCCATTTCAAAAAAAATCCTAAAGACAATACTACACAGTCCCAAATCCTTCCAGTAATCTTATTGGTCGATCGCATTACTATAAAAGCAGCTCGTTCAACTTTTAACTTTGAAGAATTTGATTTTTTTTTTTTTTTGCTCCCCTGTTAATAAATCACAACATTGTGATTGCATGAGGAAATAATATTCCCTTAGACAACTTGCTTAAATATTTAAATAAAGCCTTCCTCCTTCTTAGTATGTGAGAACATTACCTCTTTTACTCACTGATGCTCAGTTTATAGAGAAAATACTCAAAGGAATTGAAAGGCTTCTTTGCAGTATCAGGAAGTCTTCACCAGATAAATAAAAACTTCAAGCATAAATAGAAAAGCAACTGCCTGTGAGTGAGCTAAACTATGGATTTTACTTCATTTGGTACAAAAATGCATTTTCACCTTCAGAAAATTCAAGTAAACA